TGAGGGGACTGAAGCATCTCTCCTATGAGGAGAGGCTGAGGGAGCTGGGCTTGTTCAGCCTGAAGAAGAGAAGGCCCCGAGGGGACCTAATATATACTTATAAATATCTGAAGGGTGGGTGTCAAGAGGATGGGGCCAAACTCTTTTCAGTGGTGCCCAGCGACAGGACAAGGGGCAATGGGCACAAATCAAAGCATAGGAAGTTCCGTCTGAACATGAGGAAGAACTTCTTCCCTCTGAGGGTGATGGAGCCCTGGAACAGGCTGCCCAGGGAGGTTGTGGAGTCTCCTTCTCTGGAGATATTCAAGACCCGCCTGGACCAGCCTACTGTAGGTGACCCTGCTTCGGCAGTGGGGTTGGACTAGATGACCCACAGAGGTCCCTTCCAACCCCTACTATTCTGTGATTCTGTGGGGGAAGAAGTAGGACAATGTTTCCCAGGTGGTCTCCTGGGGAGAAAAAAGGTCTATGAGAGAGGATAAAGCATCCCAGAATCCTTGCATTATACATGGTAAAGCCAAAATTAGGTGGAACTGGTTTTGGGAGAGACTGCCTTTAAAACATGATAGAGAAGTCTGATCACAGATTCTGATCTTAAGAGGTGCCTGCATTTTCTGTGAGCTTTTCTTGTTTCCTGTCTGATTTTTATATTAGAAGAGGCTGAATATTTGGTCTCAACTCTTCCCTGTCTTGGGTTGAACTCTGTTCAGCGTGCACTTATTTAACGTTTTGGATTTGAGTGCATGGAGGTGAGGGACTTTATATTTTTAAATTGCAGCCTGGCAAATTGCATTTGATGTTAATACACAAGGAGGAGTAATTTTGTAAAACTGGCATCTGCTGTGGGAGCCTTAGCATGCCCATCATGTTTTCAAGGTAGTGATATGCAGGCATACAGAAATATTCTTCATTATCACTGTCTGAGACTGTGGGAAATTCAGTGCTACTTCAATACTTCAAATAAATACAGTCACTGGCCTCTTCTCTGAACTTTTTTGATGATTGGCATCGTAGTAACTTCCCTTCTGAATTATACAGCTAGTGCATAGGGATGTGCTGGAAGATGAGGCTTAAATAGTGGTTGCCTGTGCAATGATTAACTAAATCAGTTTCTAAATTTAACTGATGTAGTTAAATTGCTTCTTGAACTGTGTGTAGATTAGTCTCTAATGGCTTGATTTTTTTTTCCACACATGTAGCTTGTAGTGTCTGTACATTACATCAACTATTTTAAAGTGTAGTTAAGAGCAATGTAAGCATTGACATGTTTATTACATAATTTGGTGGGATGTATGGAACATCCATGTAATCATAGGTAACTTTAAATGACAGTCTGAGAATCAGAGTCAACACATTACCCAGTCAGTCAGAATCACAGAATCACAGAATAGTAGGGGTTGGAAGGGACCTCTGTGGGTCATCTAGTCCAACCCCCCC